ATGGTAGCACCTCCCAGGGATTGGGATGGTGATTAGTCCAGTTCGATCCTGGCGGCAAGAAATCCACTGTGACCAATGAGTCAGCAGGTCAGTGGTTCCCCCCAATAGCCGTGAAGGCAAATGAATATTGGAAAGAGGGGGAGTGAGCCAATAGTGAGTTTGGCTTGAGGGGGAGATTGTTGGAGATAGCAATCCAAACTCCCTATGATGTGTGTTGCGACGCATGATCTGACAGGCAGCGTGCCTGTAGCTCAGTGGTATGAGCACTGGCAACGTTAATCCAGAGGTCGTGGGTTCAACTCCCACCGGGCGCACACACAGTTAGTACAAATCCTGCTAGTGTTTTTGGGTTTCTTCACACGGTTCAAAGGCTTCCCGTGGCTTCTTTCCCCTACACCTTTGACGTCGTTGCCTATAGTCAGTCCACATTTGAGTCGCAATCCGGTCACGCAGTGCCTCGCCTGCCCGAGCTGATCTTGCAGTTCGGAAGGGAGCCTGCTGTTCTGCAGCTTGTCTGTTACCATCCAAGATATCCTCCTCCTCCTCGTCATCCATGTCTTCCAAATCCAAACGCCTCTTTGTGATCTTCACAAAGTTGAAAACAACCACAGAGGCTCGTATGATTGCAGTTTGTAGCGCAATAGGGTAAGAGCGCATCACCGTCAAGATTGGAAACATCTTCTTGATGGTACCAAAGGCCCTCTCAATGGTGTTGCGCAAGCTTGAGTGGCGATAGTTGAAAAGTTCTTCTTTGGTCCTCACCTCCGACCCACCGCCCACCTGATGCCACTCCCGCAGATGGTAGCGTACCCCACGGTAAGGTGTGAGAAAAGACTCTGTGCATGAATACCCCGCATCCGCCAGGTAGTAGCGACCTTGCGGCACCGAGAGTTGTCCTTGCTCCAGCGCGGCTGTCAGCACCCTACTGTCGTGCGCGGTACCCTCCCATCCGGTGTACATCAGTTGAAAAACCCCATCAAATGAAACAACCCCCAGCACGTTCTGTGAAATCTGCCCCTTCCGGTTGCGCCACGGGATTTGCAGCTCACTGTCGATGTGAGCTGAAATGTGAGTGCCGTCGATTGCACCAATGCAGCGGTCAAAATAGCCGGCAAACATGTCATTGCCGCTGATCTCAATGGGAACAGGCACATCTGGCGCCGGCAGCTTGACATAATCCTCTTCCAGGCCAAGGACAGCCTCCAGAACCCCGCGAAAGTGAGCTGAAATTGTGGAGCCAGAGTGCTGAAAGCGCTCCTGCGCGTCTCTATTGCTCCGGTTCAGAGCGATGATGTTTAAGAAGATCACCAGCTTCTCCAGGGCAGACACATGCCGACTATGCTGGAGTAAACCATTGGCGGTGAGATGACCGTAACGTTCCCTGAACCTGGGGTAAGCAATGGATGGGCAAGTCTGGACACTGACATGAAAACTTCCTTCGGCATGCGCAGGTTCTCTCTCGCTCGCCGTGGA